TACAATTCAAGGCAAAGACATAGATAGATATTTATAGGAGGAGAATATCCCTGTAATTACACCAGAGCAAAGGGAACCAATAACTTCGGAAGAAATTATTTTAGCAATTAAACAGTTAAAGGGGGGTAAAGCTCCAGGCACAGATGGACTGACAGCTGTTTATTATAAAAATTTGCAGTTAGAAATGGTAGAACCGCTTAAGCAACTATTTTGTAAGATTCAAGCCGGAGGAGATGTACCCCCTTCCTGGAGAACAGCTTTTATTTCATTGATTCCAAAGGAGGATCAAGACTGTAGTCAACCTAAGAATTATAGGCCAATATCACTTTTAAACACTGACTATTGTTTAATATTTTATTGATTATTGTATAATCAAAATTTTTGCTAAAATACTAGCAAATAGGTTGATGTAATCATGCAACAAATGATTCATAATGACCAATCTGGATTTATAAGCGGGAGACAAATGAAATGTAATGTAAGACAAATTGTAAACTTATTGGAATATCTGGAAAGGAACAACCATGTCCCTACAGCGCTTATCTTTTTGGATGCGGAGAAGGCATGTGATCGATTGAATTGGCAATTTTTATTGAAAATAATAGAAAAGATGCAGTTTGGAGAATACTTTACACAATCTATTAGAGCAATATATCAGAGACAAACAGCACAAATAATAATTAATAGTGGTCTAACAGAAACTTTTAAAATTGAAAAAGGAACAAGACAGGGATGCCCTTTATCATCATTATTGTTTATTTTAACTTTGGAACCTTTATTGAATAAAATACGAGGGTCAAATAAAATAAAGGGAATTAAAATTAGACATCATGATTATAAATTAAGAGCATTTGCAGATGACTTGGTTGTTACTTTAACTCAACTAGTACAATCAGCTACAGGTTTAATGGATATAATTAGCCAATATGGACAAATGTCTGGATTTAAAATAAATAAACAAAAAACAAAGATAACAACTAAAAACATGACAGTAAAGCAAAAAGAAGAACTAGAAAGACTAACAGGATTTGAAATAGTAAAAAAGGTTAAATATCTAGGGGTATATATCACAGCCTCAAATGTAAAATTATATAAAAATAATTATGAATTGTTATGGCAAAAAATACAGAAAGAGATGGAGAATTGGAGAAAACTACAACTATCTCTACTGGGAAGAATAGCAGCTATAAAAATGAATGTTTTACCTAGGTTTCTATTTTTGTTTCAAATGATACCAATACTCAAGAAAGGTGAAAATTTGAAGGAACGGCAGAAGGGTATTAATAATTTTGTTTGGGCAGGGAAAAGACCGAGAATAAAGTTAAAAATAATGCAAGATATACGTGAAAGAGGAGGTCTTAAAATGCCTAATCTAAGATTATACTATGAAGCAGCTGTCCTAACAATAATTAGTGATTGGATTAACTCAACAGAAGAAAGAATATTGAACATTGAAGGATATGATTTGTTATATGGCTGGCATGCTTACTTATTATATGATAAAAAGGTGGATAAGACCTTTAAAAGCCATATATTAAGGAATGCCTTGTTACGAGTTTGGAAAAAGTATCAATATAAATTAAGTTATAAGATATGGGCAATACCCAGACATGCGATAGAGAAGAAAGAATAATTCAAACTTGGTTTCAGTATGGTCAGTTGCAAGCTAGATGGAAAGAAGATCAGAGAATTGGTATCATGCAGAACGAGGAAAATTTGGTAAAACAAATTAGAGACCAAGGTCAAATGCATATAAAAAGATTATACAATGTATTGATAGAAATAGATTCAGAAACGGAATTAGTTAAGGATTGTATGATAAAATGAGCACAAAACATTCAGGAACCAATAAACTTGGGAAAAAATATGGGTTAGAAATATAAATAGATGGCATTTAGATCCTAAAATGTTGGCTTGTATGTATCCGAATTTGCACTCTAAGTGTTGGAGATGTGATTGTGATGATGCCACTTATTATCATATATGGTGGACTTGTAAAAAAGTTAAAGCATTTTGGATTAAAATATGGTGGATCATCCAAAATGTTCTTAAAAAGAAGATAAAGTTTACTCCACAATTGTTTTTGCTGGGTATAATTACAGACTGTACGGTTATAGAGACTAAATTGATTTTAAATTTAATAACTGCAGCTAGACTTTTGGTGGAGCAATATTGGAAGAAGGAAGAATTGCCTACTATTGAAGAATGGACATTAAAAATAGCGAATCTGGCAGAAATGGCAAAGATTTCAGCATATTTGAAAGATCATTCACAAGAAACATATCGGAAGGAGAAGATGGATTGATTATATTCAAAACAAATATCAGACTAAAAAGTATCAAATAGCTTATGAATGAATAGAAAAATTAAGAGTATTTATATTTAGTTAAGTAAAAGGGGAGTTAAAGTGTGAAGAGGGGGATAGGACTCCTTAGTTAATTAGCTTAGTTTAGCATATGATTGTTAATGATATACCCTGTATTTTGTTCTGGGAAGTTCGAGGGGGGGTAAGGAAGGGAGGGGGGGAGGGGGAAATACTTGTAAAAAAATTTTTTTCTTTTTGTAAAACTCTTTAATAAAAAAAAATAACTCATTTGCAGTCCTGGTATCAATTACCTTTCAGGAGCCTTACTGAATTAATTATTCTCTGCACAAAATGTCAATTAGAAGGTAATTTTAAAAATGCCTGAAGTTCAAATATTATTACTGCAAAATTCTTGTTAACAGAGCTTATTTTAAATTCCATTGTAACATTTTTACTGCTTCTCCCCCATTCATGACACTTCTGAAGTCTGAAATGTGCATATATTTTTAAAAATTATATTTTATGAAGGCATTAAACCCTGCATATGTTCTGTATGCACATTAATGTATTACGACAGAAATGATCTTAGCAAATCTCAATTTACGAACAGGAATGCTGGCAAAATTGTGTTATTTTCATGGAACACTGTTTAGTAAATAAAGAGCAGTCTTATAAAATTGATACAAGCAAGCACATACTAAAACAGCCTTTGTAACAACACACTTCAGTAGTTCTTTCAGTGAGCAAACAAATCAGTGCAATAGTAAACATAAGATTTTTTTTAATGACAGGAAAACAGTTCTAGGAATTGCTTAACCCAAACCATTCAAGATTGAGCAATAGTTTGAATAAGGTTGATATAAATTAAGTACAATCATAAATTAATCAAGTAACAGAAAAAATATACAGCTTTAATTAATTTATGAAGAAAATCAGTTGTTGCTTTTTAAAAACAATTTATACAAAATTTACCTGTCTTAGAAGTTTCATGTCAACTAAGATAAATGCAATGTAGAATAAAGAGGCAAAGCAGTTTAAGAAGTTGAACTGCAAAAAAATAGAAAATTAATTAAAAAGGCATTCTATCAAGTATATCCAGAAAGAGTAATGTATGATTCATATGGCATAGCCATCACACACACAGATATATAACCCTGTGAATAATTGGTTTTAATTTGTGGGAGAAAAATCTTTGATGAACTAGAGATGGTTCCCAAGATTTACAATACTACTCCAATCAAGTAACCATAATCCAGATTATACGCTAAAATCTATGCTGTTTTCATTTTTAAGTAATTTTTAATGTTTATGCCTTTTCTTCTATCCAAAAGAAAGATGAAATCTGAATTTAAAATAAGCCCCTTAACATGTTCAATGCCCCATTTTGTCAAACTAGAATTGCAAATTCCAGTTATAATTTATTTGAGAGATTCTTCCCTCCACTAAGAATAAATGCATACATATAATATATATCTAAAAGGAACATTCCATAAAATTGGACAAAATAAATTGGATTATTATCTCTGAATAACATTAATTGCCTATTACCATGTTTCTCCGAAAATAAGACCTACTCAGGCTTATTTTTTGGGGGAGGTCTTATTTAAAAACAAACATGTACATTTTATACATAATAAAAGCTAGCAAATTAAAAAAAAACTTTATATCCTAGATTTAATCCTTCAAAACTCAGCTACATAGAATCCATTTTTATTCATACAGATAAAGCAAAATGGCAAAACTATAAATCCACTAGCTCTATAAACTTTTACTGCACTGTGTGGAACAGTTTTTACTTGATAGGAAAGCAAAGATTTCCCCCCAAATAATTACTGTATTTTTCAGAATATAAAACGCACTGGAATATAAGACGCACCTTAGTTTTTGGGGAGGAAAATAAGAAAAAAGCTGATTGGTGGGTGAATCAGCCTCCCGGAATACCCCCAATCAGCTGTTTCCAGAGGTGAATTTTAGCAACAGGTTTGTTGGTTATGAGCTCTGTGCCTTGCTTTTTTTTCCTGCCTCTTAAACATCTAAAACTCTGTTTCAGAAAAAACTTTTTTTTCTGCCTCTGAAAGCCTCGGAACAGAGCTTCAGAAACAAAGGCTTTTTTTCTGAAGCTTCTTTCAGAGGCTTTTATTCTGAAGGACTATCTGTACTCTGTTCAATCTCTTTTCTTTGGTATTGGTATGTAGATTAACGTCTTCCAATCTGTTGGTTATTGTGTCATTCTCCAGATTTGTTAACATAATTTGGTTAGAACCTTTACTGATTCTTCTTTTGTTCCTTGCCATGTTATTTTAGATAAAAGCCTTTCAGAGGCTTTTTTTTCTGAAGCTTTGTTTCTGAGCCTTTTTTTCTGAAGCTTCATTTCTGAGCCTTTTTTTTTCTGAAGCTTCTTTCAGAGGCTTTTTTCAGCCTCTGAAATCTCTGTTTGCAAGGCTAGGTGGGGCTACATTCAGAGTATAAGACGCACCCAGATTTTCACCCTCTTTTTGGGAGGAAAAAGGTGCATCTTATACTCCGAAAAATACGGTATCTGAAAGTTGATCTATGGTGGTCAACTCATAAGCATTTATTCACAGTACTGGAAAATAATCTTTCATTATCAGCTCTATAAATTTTTTGGTTGCAACAATGAATTAAGTATAGTTCTTTTAGGTTATCTTTAAAATACTAATTAGTATCATAAAAGTAAGTCAAATTCACTTTTTATTCTAACAATGTCAACATACAATTTGAACTGCAATTTTCAAAAGATATAACAAATAATGGAAGATTTTAGAGTTTACATTTCCTAAATCTGAAATCTCTGATGTGCAGATTTTATTATCCCACCTTTTAACAGTTAAGCAACAATATCAGGAGAGCTATTTCATCCTAAGAGAACACTTTAAGAAAATTCATTGCAAATCCTGACCCACAACATAGCTGATCCCATGACAATCTAACTTTCTCAGTGCAATTTTATGATTATGGAACTGGCAGTTTCTCTGAACAGAAGTTACTTCAAAATAATAAACTTAAGAAAAGCCTATTAGCACTTCTTGGGAACATGGCTAACTGAACACATGCACAGGGAGAGATCTCTGAAGGATTTCTCCCTGGAGTGTTGCTCTTCTGCCTTCTAACTGAAAGAATTGTATCCCATCAGTTTTTATGACCCACCTGGTCAGGGTGTGTCGAAGAACTTTCCCTCAGGACCCCTCAATATAGCAGTAAACCGGCAGATTGCTTTTGGAGTTGAACTCTGAAGCTGTCTGTATGCCAAAAGCTGGGAGGGAAGAGGCTGCAATCTGTTCAGGGGCTGAAGAAGCCATTGTGTTTGGAAATTCACATTTCAATCCAACAGTAAGTTATGCCTTCCTTATTTCAATCATCTTCAAAGGCTATTTTTCTACCTGGTCAATTTAAAAGAGACCCTTTCTAGCAACAGCAATACCTTTTTGAAGATCAGCACCATTTTAAGGATGTCTTAAAGAACAAGGAAGAAGGCTGCTAAGGCAAGCCAAATGAAGAAATGGGCCGAGAAAAAAAAAGCTATCAGAGAAAAATAATGATTGAAGCTGTGATTTTAGTTTACTATTGTAGTAACTGGTAGCTTGATCTTCTCAGCTGTGGGTGGCTAAAATCTTCTGATTCTGATTAAAAGAGAAAGCCAAGATGATGGAGCAAAGTATTAGAGATATATTTGAAAGGTCTCTAAATGAAATATGCCAATTTGTGAATCAGTTGTTCTCTGAGGATAAAAAATCATCTTAAAGTACTTCTGAGATGCAAAAAGTGGAGAATATTACCAAACTGCTGAGGCAACTTCATAAATAGCTGAAAATGCAGAGGAGTGTATCGCAGGTTTGGAAGAGCTGGATATTAACTTTCATTTTTACCCTCACTACTATGTTTCAAATGTAAACCTCTCAATACAATTGAAAGAAGAGCTTTGAGAAAATAGACAAATTTAGGACTTTTTCTTTAAGGACATTAACAAGGTTGAGGATCTTGTGAGAAAAAGAAAAGACTACAAGTCTTTGATACTTCCAGAGAAGAAAAAGATTTTACTCCATGAAGATAAGCTGGAAGGAATGTCTTAAGCTTAATGAGTTAACTGGAATCGGGACGCATTTTTATTTGCTTGATATGTGCATCTGAAAGAAAGGTTTGACCCAAAATTTGCAAATATATATATATATTTACATATATATAATGCTTAAATAACTCTTAAAGTAGGCAAAGCTATTGAAAATGTATTTGAGAGTACCTATATTAAGAGAAAGTAAAAGAAAATGATGTAACAGTTTAAAGAAAAACTCTGTTAAAAAGAATAGAATAGAATTCTTTATTGGCCAAGTGTGATTGGACACACAAGGAATTTGTCTTGGTGCATACGCTCTCTTGTGTACATAAAAGAAAAGATACATTCATCAAGAATCATAAGATACAACACTTATTGATAGTTGTAGGGAAACAGTCAATATAAATCTTAAGGGTACCAGCAACAAGGTGACATTCATACAGTCATAAGTGGGAGGAGATGGGTGATAGAATGATGTGAAAATAGACGTTGGTCTTACCTGATACGTCCGTTCTCTCTTAGTGAGGAACGTCTGTCAGACTGGGGCTTGGACTCCACTATGCAGCATATGACCGAGTCTGCAAAATTTAAATAGCTCCGCCCTCTGCTGGTTGATCCCAGTGTTTCGGCAAGGGCGTTAACGCAGACTGGAGTGTCTTTCTGGAAAAATATAAAAGGAGAGGTAAAAGAACACCACCCACCCCACCGGGAACAGGGCCCACCAAGAAGGGTGGGGCTGACAGACGTTCCTCACTAAGAGAGAACGGACGTATCAGGTAAGACCAACGTCCCTTCTCCTCAGCGTGAGAAACGTCTGTCAAACTGGGGACATACCAAAGCTGAATGTCCACTGGGAGGGAAGAGACAGGCCCTGTTACCTCAAGCCGTGTGAACTGCCTGGAGGACTCTGCGTCCGAAGGCCGCCTCCGCCGATGCAAACGAGTCCACTCGTTAGTGTCGGATAAAGGGGGAGATGCTTGTCCAGGCGGCCGCTCTGCAAATCTCCTCCAACGGAGCCTGGGTTGCCCACTCAGTGGAGGTTGCCGCACTCCTGGTGGAGTGGGCCGTGATACGGTGGGGAATAGGTAAAGACTGTCTTTGGTAGGCAGTAGATATGGTTGCCCGGATCCAACGACCCAGCATAGGTGCAGATGCCTTGGTTCCAATAGACGTGGGTTGGTAGAAGACAAACAACGCCTCTGTTTTACGAAATGTGGAAGTACGCATCAGATATATTTTGATGGCTCGGCGGACATCCAATGTGTGCCACGTGCGTTCTAAGCGGTGCATAGGGGAGGGACAGAAATTGGGCAGGACCAATTCTTGAGCCCGATGAAAGGGAGAGTTGATTTTAGGTATGAACGCTGGGTCCAGTCGGAGGACTACCCTGTCATGATGAAAAATGCAGAGGTCCTTACGAGACGATAGGGCCACCAGTTCTGAAATGCGTCGGGCCGACGTGATTGCGACCAAGAATGAGACCTTGAAGGACAAGAAGCGTAGCGAGACTTGCCGGAGCGGTTCGAAGGGGGAGGCTGTGAGAGCGGTCAGTTACCTTGTTCAGATCCCAAGTAGGGAAGCGATGGACCGGTGGAGGTCGTAAGTTGGTGGCGCCGCGCAAAAATTGGCGGATGATGGGATGACAAGAAATAGATGAAGAAGAACCGCAGGTCAGAACCGTAGAAATGGCGGCCACTTGACGTCGAAGAGTATTGGGGGATAGGCCAGCTTCGAACCCCTCCAATAGAAAACGCAACACATTCTGCACTGAGGCCGATAGGGGATGGACGTGGGAACGTTGGCACCAATCGACAAATGATGACCATGTTGAGTCGTAGATCCTGTTGGTAGATGGCTTGCGGGAGGCTAAAACCACATCGATTGCTGCAGAGGGAACGTTGGCCTTTTTTAAGAAGAACCGCTCAGCCTCCATGCGGTTAAGCGGTACCATGATGGGTCCGGATGCCGAAGGGGACCCTGGAGGAGGATCATCTGGTCATCTGGGATGCTCCAAGGTCGATCGACCGATAGGGACACTAAGTCCGCATACCAGTGTCTCCGTGGCCAGCGCGGTGCCAAGAGAATGATCTCTGCCCATTCCTGAATGACTTTCCTGATGACCCTAGGGAGCAAAGGAAATGGAGGAAAGGCATATAGAAGGCCTGATGGCCAAGGACAGCGAAGAGCATCAGTGGCTTCAGCCCTGGGGTCTTGGTATCGGGAAAAATACCTCGGAACCTGGTGATTCGTCCGAGATGCAAATAGATCCACCTCAGGAGTTCCGAAACGGAGAGTGATGTCTCTGAAGATATGAGCAGGGAGACTCCATTCTGCATTGTCCAGTTGATGTCTGCTGAGAGCATCCGCTTGCGAATTCTCTTCTCCCGAGATGTGATCTGCGCGAAGAGATTTAAGGTGAGACTCAGCCCAGAGACCGAGAAGTAGAGCCTCATCCATGAGCACTCGAGAATGAGTGCCTCCCAGTCTATTAACGTGTGCCTTTGCTGTAACGTTGTCCGTTAGGACGAGCACATCACAAGAAGTAATAAGGTTCTGGAAGTGGAGTAATGCTAGATGAATGGCCCTCAGTTCCAGAAGATTAATGGGAAGGGACCGTTCAAGAGTCGACCACTGACCTTGAGTCAGGTGATGCTTCAAGTGAGCCTCGCAACCCTGGAGGCTCGCGTCCATGGTGATGTGGCGGGTCGGTTCCCTGAAGAAGCAGGGTGCGGACAAAGCTGAGGACGTCCACCATCGGAGAGAGGAGATCACAGCCGGGGGAAGAGACACTCTGCGGAGGGAGGTACTGGATCGGTTTTTCTGATGTGGGAGCAGGAACCATTGTAATTCCCTACTGTGGAGCCTCGACCACGGTACAATGTCGTACGTGGAGACCATCTTCCCCATAAGGCAAGACAGCCCGAGAAGAGAAGAGGACCGCTCCGAGATACAGCGGAGGGCCATGGAACAGAGGCTGGTCTGTCGGTCCACCGAAAGGGAAACCGTAGAGGTTACAGTATTGATTACAGCCCCTAAGTGCTGGAGACAGGTGGTCGGAACCAAGTGACTCTTGGACCAATTTACGGAGAAACCATGGTCCTGAAAAATCCGGATAGTAGTAGCCAGGTCCTGGCGGACCGCTCTCAAGGAGGAGGATTGAAGTAAAATGTCATCTAAGTAAAATTGGATTCTAAGGGGGGTGGACCGGATATGGGCCACTAGAGCCGCCATAATCTTAGTAAAGACGCGGGGGGTGGAGGACAGGCCAAATGGGAGGGCAGCGTACTGGTAATGACACCCTCGGTAGTGAAACCGAAGGTATTTACGGAAGTCAGGGTGGATAGGGACGTGAAGGTACACCTCCGTTAAATTGATGGAGGTGAGGAAATCCCCTGGCCGGAGAGTCTCCAGGATAGTCTGCAGGGTGTGCATCTTAAACTGGTGATACACAACGTACCGATTAAGAGCCTTCAAATCAAGGATGGCCCTCCACCTCCCGGATGACTTGCTAACTATGAACAAACGGGAGTAAAAACCGAGGCCACATTGGTCGGGAGGGACCCGCTGAATGGCTCTGATAGAAATTAGGTGGGAGATGGCCCCCGAAACTAGGCTCCTCCAAACTCTGTCCCTTGAAACCAGACAGGAGATAAAAACAGGAGGGGGAGGGGAGGAGAACTTAAGGGAAAGACCATACCTAACTGTACACTGAACCCAGGAATCAGAGGTGGAAAGATCCCATTGATCGGCAAACAAGGATAGGCGGCCGCCAATGGGAATCTCTGATTCCGTTTCACTTGGACCTACGGAATGGCTTTCCCCTACCCCCTTGAAAGGGCCACTTATGGAAAGGCCTACTACTCTGTCTGACCTGGGGGTCCTGATGAGGTTGGCTCTGGTAGGAGCGTTGAAAACGAGGCTGATAGGAGCTGGATTCCTGAGATTGAAAGGACTGAATTCTGCTGTAGGGGGAAAAGCGAGAATTGGAGCGCCGAGAGACTGAAGGGAGGATCTTGCGACGATCTCTGGTTTCTACAAGAAGGGGTTCCAACGGTGGACCGAACAGGGAGTCAGCCGAATAGGGAGATGATGTGAGTGGCCATTTGCTTTTGGCATCGGCCTGCCAGTGGTGGAGCCACAGAAGTCTGCGGGATGTAACAGTGGAGCCGATGGATTTGGCCGCAAAACAAGCGGAATTCAAGGTGGCATCTGCCGAGTACTCTAGGGCCGCGACTATCTTGTTCAGGTCCTGGTGAGTGTGAATGTCCGAAGGAGGTAGTCAATCCTGTAGTTGTTTCAACCATAACAGAGAGGCTCGGTTGAAAAAGGAGGCTGCGGTGGCCATTTTGACAGCCCACGCAGCAGATTGATGTGCCTTGATAAGAGTCTTTTCCGCCGTTTGTCTTCAGGACGCAGTGATTCTTCCGGAGAGCTTGGGAGTCTGGAAGGAGATGTCAAGGCTGCAATTGGGCCGTCCACTGGAGGTACTTGCAGTAAATTAGAAAGAGCTGGGGCAGTTTGATATAATCGTTTATCGATGCCACTCGGAGCTGGAGCTGAGCCAGGCAGTGCCCACTGTCGTTGTACAACGTCAGTAAACAGTTTAGGGGCAGGAATAAGTTCAGGTTCAACAGCTGGTTCAGCAAAGAGAGAAGAGGCAGGATCCGCACTCTCAGGGAGTGTTGTACCCGCAGTAGAAGGAGAACCCAGTCTGGTCACAGCTAGGGCTTTGTACAATAAAGATCAGAAAAGCTGAGGTCTAAAGAGACCAATAAAGGCTGGTTGGTCCGGAGCCAGTCCCTCATCATCCGAAAGAGATAACTCCCTCGATTCCTCTTCATCCGATAGAGACCCCTGGTTAGAGGGCTCCGGGGAATACTGGTGATCAGTGGAGTGATCAGATTGCACATGGCAGGATTGAGCGTGAGGCACGGAAGGGTGCGGCTGAAAGAGGCCTTGCTGAAGACCTTGAGCCAAACCCTGTTGAATAGCCCTGGCGATGATGGCCTCTAGCGTAGCTTGAGGATCTGCCTGAGATGTTCCCCCTGGGGGGGGATGAGTGGCAACGTGACTGGTTGCTAGGCTGGAAGGACCTGGAACGGAGGTCACTGAATGGCTAGGCCTGTGAGGATCAGAGGGGTCTGGGATGGCTGGAAGACCTGCTCTGCCTCAGATAAGGTTGGCCCACGGGAGGAAGGACGATCCGGAGATAGTTCACGCCCCGGATGGGTCTCAGACAATTGAGGACCCGTGGCCGAATCTATTGGTGATAGAATGGTGGCCGGGACAGGCAAAAAGGCGGAGGGCAGTTGTTGTGCCCTGAGAACCGCCTTCTCCAACGCCCTGTGGCGTCTCAGCTCTTCCTTAGATTGTTTGGGAGGCTGGGCGGCTGAAGCGGAGGATCCCTTTCTTGGGGCTTTGCCCTTGCGTGATTGCTTAGCGGAGGTGCCCTCCCCCGGGTCGCTAGCGTGCCGATGGTGGGTCTGTGAGGAGGCCGAGGTTGAGCGGGGATGATTAGAAGCGTCCGCCATTTTGAACTCACAATCCCTTGGGAGGGGAGAAAGAGCCTCAGTGTTAAAAGTAAGCCCCCAAGATAACTTAGCTGAACGAGGAGGATCTCCGTTGAACAGGAGGATTCTGGCTCCAGAGTTGACTTTGGGCCAAGGAGAAAGGCTCCGCTGGGAAATCGCTCGTCAAGCTGCTAGCTCCAGGCAGTAAAAGCGGCAAGAAAATGGCGCCATTTGAATCACCCGCCAGAATCAGCGCCAGGAAGCTGCTCGGCAAATGCCGTTCAAATGCAGCTATACAGGCACTCCCGATGCAAGGGGAGGCAGAGGGGGAGATGAGCTGCGACCCCTCAGGGGATCCTTGAGGAGGAAGCCCCCTGCCGCTAGCGCGGCCGTCGGCGGTGTCGAGTAAGGACCCTTAACGCCGCTCTATCCAAAGGAAAAAAGGATTAAAAGCAGTCCAAATTGTTAAGAAAGAAAAAAGGGGAAATTTTTTGCAGGAAAAAAAGGTAAAGAAATCAGTCAAAAGACGAGGTCCAGAAAGACACCACTGTCCAGCATAGGACCGAGTCAAAACACTGGGATCAACCAGCAGAGGGCGGAGCTATTTAAATTCTGCAGACTCGGTCATATGCTGCATAGTGGAGTCCAAACCTCAGTCTGACAGACGTTTCTCACGCTGAGGAGAATTAATAGTAATGCAGACTTAGTAACTAGATTGACAGTGTTGAGGGAATTATTTGTTTAGCAGAGCGATGTCATTCAGGGGAAAAAAAGGATGTTTATAAAAGAAAAAAATAATTAATCTATAAGGGTAGTTTGGAGGGAGGGAGCTATATGCAATATTGAAGTTTAAAGCTTGTATATTAGCTAAAGAATAAGATGTATTAGAAAGTTTTGACTTAAAAGAAAAAAAAGTGCCTTTTTTGTTTTAAAAAGTTTAGTACTTTGAAGGAAAAAAAAGGAAGGGGAAAGGGGAAAAAAAAAACACACACACACACGGGTTTTAGGCCAGAGAATTTGAAAGAATACAATAAATTTTGTAAATAAAAATCATGACAGTTCATAAAGATTACTAGGTGCAAATAGCAATACACATTATTTCCATAGCAAGGAAGATAAAGCAGGAATGGTTAACTTGATTATTTAGAGAGGAAAATATGTTCTTATTTGGATATCACTTCTGGAATTTGTGCATGTGAAGAAAAAAAATGAATTTTTTTTTATTGCAAAAGTTTTACAATTACATTTTCACCCCATTTCCCCCCCCCAACCCACCCCAAGCTCCCCAGCCTCCCTAACCCTCCCAAACCCCCCCTAACCCTCCCCTCCCCCCCGGACTTCCACAGAATATAATCCCATCAAAATCCCCTTTTTATAAAACTTGAACCCCTCCATCCCCCATATACTTTTTCATCTTCACAAAATTCAAATATTTCTATCTTTATATAATACCTTCAGTGAAAAGCTATTTGATACTTCCTAGTTTGATATTTGTTCTGCACATAATCTATCCACTTTTTCCATTCCCATTCTATAAGTCTCTTGTGAGCGATCTTTTAGATATGCTGAAATCTTCGCCATCTCTGCAAAGCTGGCCATCTTCAAAGTCCATTCCTCAATTGTGGGCAAAGCTTCATTTTTCCAGTATTTACCTATCAATAATCTCGCTGCTGTTATCATATACAATATCAACTTTGTTTCACCCAATGTAAAACCCTTGACTATACCCAGTAAAAACAATTGTGGAGAAAATTGAATTTTTTTCTTCAAAACATTCTGCATGACCCACCAAATTTTTATCCAAAAAGCCTTAACTTTCTTACAAGTCCACCAAACATGATAATATGTAGCATCTAAGCAGTCATATCTCCAACATTTTGGCTGAACATTAGGGTACATACACGACAATTTCTTAGGATCTAAATGCCATCTATAAAACATTTTATAAAAATTTTCCCTCAAATTCTGCGACTGTGTAAATTTAACATTCTGAACCCAAATTTTTTCCCATGTTTCCAACATCACTGGCTCTGCAAAATTTTGTGCCCACTTAATCATACAATCTTTAACCAATTCAGTTTCTGAATCCCTTTCTAACAAAACATTATAAAGCCTTTTAATATGCATTGGACCTTTCTCTTTTATATGTCTAACCAATTCTTCCTCATGCAACCAATTTTTTGGTCCTCTTTCCATCTCAATTGAAGTTGATTATACTGTAACCAAGTTAGATTAATCCCTTCATCCAACAGTGTTTCTAACGTCTTCAGTTGCCATCTGCCCGCATCTGCAAAAAGAACTTCTTTATATAAAAACTCCCCGAGTGACATTATATTTGTATTCCACATGATATGACCAAGATCCAGCCATAGCGGTATTTTGTAATCCCATTTGAATCGGTGCTTCTTCCAAACTCTCATCAAAGAATCTCTAAGTATATGGCTTTTAAATACTTTATCCACTTAGTTTTCATAAAATAAGTAAGCATGCCAACCAAATTCAAGATCAAAACTTTCTATATTCAATATTCCAGTCTTTTTCCTTCCAAACCAATCACTTGCTTGAGTCAAAGCTGCTGCTTCATAATATAACTGTAGGTTTGGAAGTTTAAGACCTCCCCTTTCTGGAACATCTTGCATAATTTTCAATTTCACTCTCGGTTTTTTCTCGTTCCAGACAACCTTATTCAATCCACTTTGCCATTCTTTCAGTTGTTTATCACTTTTAAGCATCGGAATCATTTGAAACAAAAAAAGAAATCTTGGCAAAATGTTCATCTTAACTGCTGCTATTCTTCCAAGTAAAGACAACTGGAGTTTTTTCCAAGTCTCCATATCTTTCTGTATATCTCGCCACAATACCTCATAATTATTTTGAAACAATTTCATATTTGATTCTGCAACCTGAACTCCTAGATATTTAACCTTTGGTACAATCTCAAAACCTGCCCTCCTTTCAAGTTCGTGTTTTCGATCTTGTGTCATATTTTTAACTATCATCTTAGGTTTTTTTGGTTCAGTCTAAATCCTGATACTGTGCCATAGTCTTTTATAATGTCTTTCATCTGGATTATTGATTCCATCGGCTGTGTTAGGTAACAACCAGATCATCTGCAAATGCCCTTATTCTATAGTCCTCTTACCTTATCACTATACCTTTCAAGATATTCGAGTCCCGTATTGTATTCAACAAGACTTCTAGTGTTAAAATAAATAACAATGGGGATAACGGACAACCTTGTCTTGTTCCTTTTTCAATATTAAAATCTGTTATCAAACTTCCATTAATAATAATCTGTGCCTTTTGTTCTTGGTAAATTGCTGAAACAGCCTGTATAAATTGATCCCCAAAGTCCATCTTTTTTAAAGTCTTTAATAGAAAATTCCAGTCCACTCTATCAAAGGCCTTCTCCGCATCCAAGAAGACCAGCACTGCAGGAATCTGTTTATTCTTCTCAAGATATTCCAATAAATCTATAACTTGCCTTACATTATCCTTCATATATCTGCCCTCTATAAATCCCGCTTGATCATCGTGAATCACCTCTTGAATAACTGGCATCAACCTGTTGGCTAGTACTTTTGCGTAAATTTTATAATCATTATTCAGAAGAGATATTGGTCTATAATTCTCCGGTTTTTTAGGACCTGCTTGCTCTTTTGGTATCAAAGAAATGTAAGCTGTTTTCCATGATGGGGGTATTTTACCCCCTTGTTGTATGTTACGAAATAAGTCTCTGAGTTGTTCCACCATTTCTGCTTGCAAAGTTTTATAATACACTGCAGTCAAGCCATCCGTTCCAGGAGCTTTAGCTGTTTTTAATTGTTTAATTGCTGCAATTATCTCCTCAACTGTTATAGGATGATTTATTCTTTCCTTTTGTTGGTTGGTAATTTTTGTGACTCTTTTATTTTCTAAATATTTTTCTATAAGTCCATTCTGCATATCATCTTTAGCATATAATTTAGTATAATAATCTACAAAGACTTCTTTAATTAATTTTTGTTGAGAGATTTCTTTCCCTCCAATATCGATACTATCAATAGTCCGTATACTCTGCTTCTTCCTTAATGTATAGGCCAACCATCTGCCCGGTTTATTGGCATTACAAAATGTATTATGCTTCGCATATTGTAAATTTGTTGCAACTTGTTCCGCCATAAGCATTTGAAATTGATCTTTCAGAAGTTTTATAGCACCACGTATTCTTTCATCTGTTGGATTTTTAATAAGTAACTGTTATTTATTCTTTATTTCTACTTCCAGTTCAGATCTTTTCTTTTGTCTATTCAGTTTATGTTTAGAATTCATGTGAATGAGTACCCCTCTCATATACGCTTTACTCGCATCCCACACAATTTCAATAGGGGTACCCTTATTCAAATTTATTTCAAAAAATTCTTTCATCTGCTTTTTAAGTTCTATTATATTTTTTTCATATCTAAACAAATTTTCATTTAATCTCCATGATCTTCTCTCAGTCTTTCCAGTCTCAATTTCTATCCATACTGGGCTATGGTCGGTTAGAGTTCTTGGAAAAATCTTTGTTCTTTTTGTCTTAACAAGTAAATCATCTGATAACAAAATAAAATCAATCCTAGAGAAAGATCTATGTCTGTCAGAAAAAAAAGTATAGTCCAATTCTTTTGGATTATGTATTCTCCAAATATCTTTTAATTCCAAATCTTCTTTCATGTCGAAAAAAGTCTGTGGTAATCTAATCCTTGACTTCGCCAGGCTCTTTTTATCTAATTTGGAATCAATTACTCCATTCCAGTCTCCCATGATTAAAATAGATCTATAATCCCATTGCAGTATTTTAGTGTGCAAAGTTTTATAAAAATGATCCTGTTGTTGATTAGGAGCATAAATTCCAATCACGAGAATTTGGCCATTTACCGTATGCAGTTCAATTGCTATAAACCTGCCGCCTTCATCTGCTTCTATAATTTTAGCTGACAGTCTTTTATTTATATAAATGACCACACCATTCTTTTTTTCCAAATTTGAAGCTATAAAATGTGTTCCTAATTTTGAATTTATCAAGTATTTTTGATCTTGTGTTCTGACATGAGTTTCTTGTAAGCAAATTATATCATTATTAAATTGTCTCAAATATGTAAATAACTTCTTCCTTTTCTGTGGTGAATTCAATCCATTCACATTCCAAGATAGAAACTTAATCATCATGTAGACTTTTTTGAAGCGACGAGCAGAATTGCCGAATATCTTCCGAAGTCTTCGGCTTTGCTCCCCCCATGGCTTCACTTTCTTGTGTAGTACTCTTGACTCCCTTTTTGTATTGTTGTGCCTTAGATCTTTCCTGTTGTTGCTTTTCTTTGAGTTGCTTGGAGATTGCACGAGTTACACGCTGGTCTTTGGCTTCAGCCATCCGAGCTAGGTCCAAAGCCACATCTCTTGTGGACAAAATTGGAGAAGATTCTAACAGGGGCTCCTTCAGAAAACCTCCTGTAGCACCCTGCATTTCTGCTGGCTCTGATTCCACCTGCTTAAGCTGCTCTTCCATCTCTTGCTGAGGTTGCTTCTCCTTGTCACTCTCCTTTATCTCCAACACAGTAGATGTACG